AAAACCAGCCTCAAAGCTAGCAGTGTGCAGCAACAGCTCCTCTTCATAGCCCTGCTCCCCCACACAGGGTGACCAGCAGTGAAATTCCTGTCCCCAGCACCCCAAGGAGGATGCAGCCATGCCAGGAAGCCCATCCTGCAGGCACCTCACAAAAAAATGCCATCTGGACTCCCAGCAAAGCCAAGCTGTTGCTAAGTCGAGTTAGATTCACACAGGCGCCTCATGGAAATTTCCCAGAGCACTGCTGTGTCATCCTAGGGATGCTCCCAGTGTGTCTCACAAATGTTAACTCCAGGTCACCAGGGACTTTGGGAATGGGAGTGGTGGGTCTCAGGAGAGAGCTGGAATGTTAGGCATCAGCTCACCAGATTAATGCATTTCAGTTCAATTCTAATCTGCTTCTCAGCAGCCAGGAAGCCAAGGAGTACACCAGGGATTTTGTAGGCCACTGCTGAGCCCCAACACCCACTCCCAGGGATAGCAGAGCAATGTCAGGGAGACCGGCCAGTGTTGGGGCTCACCTGGACCAGATGACTGGAGCAGTCAGGCTGGGCAGGGCTCTGCTACTCAGCCACAGCCTATTTGCCCCCTTCCTTGGCACAATGGCACTGTGCACACAGGTGAGTGGAGTCCCTTCCCCAGTCACAGACTTCACAACACCTGAAGGGTCTCCTTCAAGTCCCCACAAAGTGGAGAGCCATGAAGAGCCCCCTTCTCACCTCAGCCCACTCCTCTAGCCACCGCTTCCCTCTCCACACTGCAGAAGGCAAATGGCTGAGGCTACAGAGACCCCAGGGTTTCATTCTGTTCTGCATGTTACTGTGCCAGATCGCCTAGCAGCAGCCTCCTAGGAATTAGGCACTTGCATTACCCACCTGGCATTGCATACCCACCTGGCATGGTGTTCCGTGTCCCAGTGGCCCTGCTTCCAGTCCTGGCTGTGCTGTCCACACCCCAAGATCCTCCTCTCAGAGATCTCACCTGCCCAGATGGTTGCTAACGTACAGACCAGAGCTGCCCCACCCTGAGCACACTTGGCTGGAGCACCTGGGAGACATGCAAAAACTAGATCGAGAAGCACATGAAGGTGAGACATTCACCATCATGTAAGCATCAGGCTTACAGGACTGCCCTTCCCAGCCTCTTGCCACTACTTCTTGCCCATACATGGAGTAAGGGAAGGGACTCACAAGACAGGGGGATGAGAGCTTCCCCTCCAGCTCATACTGGGAGAAAGCAAGGAACAGAGGGAAGCCAGGAACCAAAGTCATAAAGCACAAGCACAGGCCGAGCTGCGCAGTGCCACACGTGGGCTGCCAGGCTCTATTTTAAATGCTGTGTGGCAAATATATGCAGGATGGAATCCAAGCTGGGGGAAGGGGAGGGTGCTGGGCAGCTGAGGTGTTCAAAATTAGGAGCTGAGCTCAGGCAAGGATGGCTTCTGGGAGCAGATGGGGGAAGAGCCAGAGCTGGGACTGTGCAGCTGCAATGCCAGGAAGAACAGCCCCATGGTGAGGTGTGAGGAGGGCTGTGCCCTGCTACTCTCCTGGCAAGGTAGGGACAGCAAGAGAGCTGCAACAGCTGGGGAAGGACAGCTGAACACTTGGGGCAAGAGGAGCCTAGCTTCTTCTGTGGCAGAGACCTCTGTCCCCCTCCGCACAGCTCTTGGCACGAGCATCACCCCCAAGACACCTCAATCCTCAGTGTATTTACAGGGCAGCGAAGAGAATTGATTCACCTGCCTTTCACAAGTGGGGAAGGTGAGGGACTTAGGGAGACCTGGTTGAGCCCCAAACTGAGACCTGAAAACCTCCACACCTGCAAAACTGGCTTGATTCATCTGGATTGATGCTGAAAAAGCTGCTGCCATCTCACTGTGCTTTGTAAGATGTTCCCAACCAGCACCCCAGCATCCTGGCGCAGCACGAGGCTCTGATGGGAGCTGGCAGATCTGGGATGGTACCTGCCCTACATTTCCAGAGCCATCAGGTTGACAGAATGAGCAAATTTTTATATAGATTTTGGTGGAAGCAGTTTTCTTCACCAGCGGCTCGAGGGGCGGGGGGAAGTGAAGTGAGATGGAAAATATTTTTGTTTAAGCTCTTTTCTGCATTCCTGCTGCCAGAGTTGTGCATTACTCATGCACCCCTCGTACCCAGGCTGGTAGCTCTGAGTTTTGCTCAGAAGGAAGGGGCTGTGGAGAATTAAGCAGTTGGTTAAATTATTAATAGTCTGTCGGGGGGTGCCCGCCTGGCCCCCACTGCCTTTCTGGGGGCTCCAGTGCCCCCCAGAGGCATCAAAACCAACTACAGCCCCGTGACAAACCCGTGGATTCCTCTGCCCTACTTCAAGCCCGCAGACACCCCATTCTCCCGGCCTGGAAACCACTAGACTCCTGGGCTGGGATGGGGCCTCCTGCACCTGGTCTCACCCATCACGTGTTGAAACTGGGCAGGCGCCAAGGGGGCTGCAGGTGTTCCACCCCATCAGTGATGGGGTGGTAGGAGCAGTAAGAGAAGAGGGAGAAGAGTCCATTGGGGAGGGCAGAAGTCACAGTGGCAGTTATATTCAGCAGAAGGCACCTTCTTTTCATGGCAACACCCAGGGGAAAGCTGCCACACAGGGCTTGGTGTTCAATGCCACAGCTGCAGGCTGCAAAATAGCACCTGAGTGACTGAGGTCTGATAGGGGCCACTCTCCAGCGGTGTCAGGACACACTCAGAGGGTGTCACATGCGAGGGTTTTAACCAGGCTCTCAGCACACACAAGGGCAACCATCCCCCTTGGCTCCACCACATTCACTGTCAAACCCATCCTGCTCCCACACGAGCCCTCATCTTCCTTCCTGATCCTTCCAGTTTCCTTCCTGCAGCCCTGACATTTATTTTCAAGCAGCTGAACTCTCCTCACAACAGCTGCTGCCCAACAACGAAAGTCCTGAGGTGAAACTTCACAGGGCAAACCACAGCAAACGTGGCCTGCACAGGGACACATGCAACTAGCACTCAGCCCAGCCCAGCTCTCTATGCTCACAGCTTCAGTGGGCCTCCAATCTCTTCCTCTCTTCTCCACTGAGAGGAAGCTGAGCTGAACATACCCAGGCCTCTGCTGTGCACTCTGGCAAGGCTTTCTTTGACTTTCTAATTTTGCCCAGGGATTGGTGTCAGACTGGTAGCCCCAGGGACAGTCCTCCTTTACCAGGAGAGCTCCAGCACAGGTATTGCAGGTGATTTCATTTTTGGCATCTTGCTTATCTTTATCCTGTGGGATGGACATCAGTTACAGTAAGTCCTTTCTCCTCCTCCCATTGGACCATGTGACTCACCAGGCACTTTGCCGGTCCCCTTTCCCCCTCCCCCAATGGTGGCCACTCTAAGGCTCTTCCTCAACACAGCCAGAGCTCAGGCTCTTCTCCAATGTAGCCTCCAGCCAAGGCTGCAGAACCTGACTCCACCATTTTCCTAGAATAATGGATTCGTGGAATATCCTGAGCCAGAAGGCACCCACGAGGATCACTGAGTCCAACTTCTGGCCTTGCACATGACAACCTCAACAATCCCACCATTTGCCCGAGAGCATTGTCCTTGAGCTCCTTGAGCTCTGGCAGCCTTGAAGCCGTGACCAAAGAGCCTGTTTGAGTGCCCAACCATCCCCTGGGGGAAGAACCAAAGCTCTCCACTCCTGCCACTTATTCCACTGTTCCCAAGATTTTGGTTCTCAGACTGTCCCTTCCAAGGGTCAACAGCCCCAAAATCTGAGCTCTGAATTCTCTCTGCCCCTCAGGGGCATCAGCCATCCCAGTCCTTACAGGATTTGGGGTTCTTCCAGTGGTCCACTTCTTTCTTGCTCTTCTCAATGACAAGTCCAAAACTGGCTGGGAGGACAGGGATCACCAGCCCAAGCTTCTCTCCTCACCAAGCATCAGTGGAACAGCGGGGACAAGCCACAGTAAAGCCCCACGTATGGCCAGGACCATTGTGGTGACTGGAGAGGGCTGGCACAGCCATCATGTGGGATCTGACCACAGAACACACCAGGGAGGGGAGGAGGAGATGGAGTCTGCACAGCCAGCTCACAGCATCACTCCCCTGACTTGGTCAGCAAAGAAATACAGGAGTTTGAACCTCATGAGGCCCTCAGTAAGGGCTGGGCAGCTCTGACTTGGCTCAGGGTTAAGGTGATGCCAGGGAAGGATGAGTGAACCCTGTACAGGACCTGCATTCAGGTACATGGCTCAGAGGCCATGCTGGCCCTCTGGAGCTCATATCGTGCTGCTCAGCAGAGTCAGAGACTGGAAGTATCTCAGAGGCTGTGAAAGGACTTTGACACAAGGACATTTCTGCACAAATAGAGGCTGCTTGGCACTACTGGAAAGCCACCAGGCCTGGCTAAAGAGAAAACTCTGCAGCACTTGCTTGATCTTCAAAGTTGGCCCTGCTCTGAGCCAAGGGCTCAGCCAGAGACCTCTAGAGGGCTCCAAACCCATTTGCTGCTGCAAATGTCACACGGCCAGGCCTGCCAGCACCAACTTGCAGGTATTGCAGGTATCTGTGCACACTCCCAGACAGCTTCTGGGATGTGTCCCAGCACACCAGGGAGTCCAGCACTAACAAAACGGTTGCAGGCTGGCGCTACGAGTTCCATGTGAGTCTTAGCAAGCGCCAGAAAAGGGACAGTGCATACCACAACCCATTTGTGGAGGAGCCAGCCGCATGGCCTAGCCCAGTCTTGTGGGGCCATGTAAAGGATATGCCACTTCTCCTGCTCAGAGCAGAGTGGGAAACCCTGAACCACCCACAGGACAACTGCTGCCCTCCTGTGGGGAGTTACACAATGCCTCCGGCCTTGGAAGCCTGCAAGGGAAATCCTCACAGCCTCCCGAAGGGCTGAGTGCCTGCAAAGGTCAAAACCCAAAAAGGGCTGTGCAGAGAACAGTGGACACCCTGTCCACAGTTTTGCCTCCCCCCACCAGGAGCATGAAGAAAGTAAGAGACCCTTACGTGGGCAGCTCTTCTGGAGCAGCAGCCCCCGGAGGCTCCACGGTCACAGGGCTGGGGGCTGTGGCACCCTGGGCTGCAGCTGATTCCTGAGTGCCTGCAGCTTCCCCAGCACGTGGTGCTGGGATGTGCTCTGTTGTCTCCACCTCAATCTCCTGAGCTGCAGGGCACAGCTTCACCCTCTCAGCGGCTGCAGCTGCCTCCTCCTCCTCCTCCTTCTTCCTCAGCTTCGCCTCCAGCTCCTGGCGCCTCTTCTCATCATCCTGCCTGGCCATCCGTTCAAACACTCGGAATGCCTGGGAGAGAAGGAGCAAACCAAGTAAGCAGCACTGCCAGCTCTGCCTGGGATGCTAAGAGAAGGAAAGGAGCAACATCACACGCTTGGGGCACCTACTCCTTCCTGCCCTCCCTCTCTCTGCACCACATACCTACCCGCAGCTGCTTCAGTCACCAACAAAAACAGTTGGTGACTCTTTGAAAAGTTCCATGGCCACATCAAGCACACCTCAGAAACTCCTGGAAGCATTTTGGAATTGTTTCTACTATTGTATTCTCACAGCCAACATCACCCCAGCCTGAGAAGAGGGCTGGTTACTCCAGGGAAAATCAGAGTGGTGAGATTCAGCTCTTGGCTGGGAGGGGTCTCCAAGAGAGCCTCCCCTTACCCTGTATTCCAGGGCTCACCCAGGGACCATCTGCAAGCCTGGACTCAAAGTCTCCAACAGGCAAACAGGATGAGCTGCCCCAGGAGAAGTTGCAGGACAGGTGACCTGGTACTGGCTGTGTCCAAGCAACAGGTGCAGGAGAAGATGTGATCCTAGGAGATGCAATCCTACCCCTCATCTGGCTTCTGGCCATGCCTGTCCAGTGCAGGCTGGAGGTCAGAAGTGAAGCCCACAACTGTGTCTGCAGCAAGGAATGATGGCCACTTAGACCCTGCACCTGCTTCTTGAAAGGGCTGTAAGTTCTCCCACCCAAGTGCCAGGGTTTTGGCACTGTAAACACATTCTAAAAAGCGTGCAAGCATCAAACACACCCCTCCTTTGCTTCCCAGGAATATTTTAGAGGCAGATTTAGTGCTTCCAGCAGTGGACTAGCACACCTGCTCGATTCAAATCTTCCTGTGGGTCCAGGAGGTGCAGGACAAAAGACACAGGCACGGATAGCTCCTGCCAGCATAATCACAACAGGACAGAAGCTTGTGCCAATTAACCCAGCCTTTCTCCTCAGGCATTGAGCAGAGCGGAGGATGTGGGAGAGGTGAGCACCAGCCCTGCATAGATCATGCAAAGCAACACCTCAGTACTGTGTCCCCTGCACTGCAGTCGAGCGAGGATGAGGAGGAATGAGCCCCTTCCACACTGTCCCCACACTCTGGGTACCTCTGGCTGCAGCCATGAAGCTGACCTGACTAACACCTTCCCATAGCAGGAACACTGCACCTCCATCCTTCTGCCCAGCCCTACAAAGTCCCGGGGGGACACCAGACAGGAAGCCCATCAGCACTGCCCTTCTGCCCAATAGTCTGGGCTCCATGCTGTCCCTCTGCAGCCTGAGCCCCCTCTGGGGTCTACTTAATCCAGAGAGGCCAGCAGGGGCTACCCCTGGCGGTAATGAGGGCCCCCAAGTGTCACGGGAGACAAAGGAGAGGCAAGACTCCTGTCCCCCCACCTGCAGCACACCAGGCCTGATGTGCCTAGGAAGGAAAACTCACCAGTTCAAGCAGACAAATATCTTAAACCCAGTCTCACTGTAAGTTTTATGAGCTCATTTCCTCCCTGCCAGTGAAGATTAACAAGCCAGAGGACCCCAAGTCAAAGCTGCTCCAACACCGAACCAGGCAGGTCAGGAGCGAGACCAGCACAATGCCGATCACAAGCTCTCGCTAAGCCCAGCCCAGACCTGCCTCCCCCAACGACTCCCGGGTCTCATCTGCCTCCTGCCTCTCTCTGCGCTCTCTGCTCCCATGGCTCCTGGAGGCAGCTCACGGAGACCACCCTACCCCGGCACTCCCGGGGCCAAGCTCCGAGCTGATGTCGCAACCGGGCTCTTCCCACCGGAGTCTCGCAGTCCTCACCTGCCTCCGGGGCTCCTCATCTTCTTACGAGGGTGACGCTTTCCCCCGCGTCAAAGGACCTCTCCTGCCTTCCTCTGCGCTCCTCCAGGCAGTGCCGATGCCCCGGGGGCTGCTGTGCCGCCCGACCCCCGACCCGCATTCCCCGCTCTGCCCGGACCTAACCGCGCCGCCAGCCCGATACGAAAGCCACCCAGCCGGGAAGATACAGCCCGTTCGACTCGGCCCCGCGGCAGGGACAGCGCCGGCCGCCAGCAAGGCCAAGCCGCGCCATCCCCCCTGGCCTCGCCGGTACCTGCAGGGCCATGGCCTGTGCCGCGCCGGGCGGGAAGCCCAGGCGGTCCCCGGGCCGCAGGAGGAGCCGATAGAAGTCGGTCTTGCGGTAGAGGAAGCCAAAGAGGATGCGTAGGAATTCCTCCACGTTGCCGACATGCTGCAGGATGCCCAGCAGTGCCTGGTCGTACATGTCAGTGAGCGCGGCCTCCATGGCGGCCCAGAGCCCGCTGTCACGGCAACGGGTTCGGCCGCGTTTCCGGTCCTCCCGGAACCCGCCCCGCGCATATGGATTCCGGCACTCCGGAGGCCCCTCCCGCCTCCCTGCGGGTCCCAAGGCATTCTCGGCCCCCAGTGGCGCCGCTGAGACCTTCGGTCTCCTTGCAGCACCGGGAGACGCCCAGACTCCGCTACCCCGTGACCCTCTGTGTCTCTCATGTTCCTGGCCTCCCCTCCCTTCGCCATTCCCGACTGCCTCCACGGGGGACGGGGGAGGGGTGGTGTGCAGGAGCCGCTCCGCGCCTCCAGGGGGCGCACAGGCCCCGCGGCCACCTCCCGGGGGCGGGGCCGGGGCCGGAGCCGAGCGCGGAAGCGGAAGCGGCAGCTGCGCGGGCAGCTCGTGGTGGGCGGGGCTTTGGCGGTGCCATCCCTGCTCCCGAGGTGCCGTCCCTGCACCCGTTGCAGCGCCTGCGTTCGGGGCTGGGGGAGTTTGAGCTCCATGCTCCATGCTTCCCGAGCCGTCCCCTGGCTCCTGCCCCCGGTCTCTGCCCTGGTGTCACCCCGGCCTCTGTGACCCCTAGGCCTGCTCCTCACCTGTCGCCGCATGGGTTTATCCAGCCGTGTGCGAGAGGTTTGGTCCAGAAAGGTCCTGGGACAGACCGTATCAAAACTACCGAAATCAAAAATGATTCCATCAGCTGCTTCTCTTGATCGATTTGATCAAGAGTGCAACCATCCAATCAACTCACCCGCTAGACACCCCCTGCAAATCCCCCTCTCCAGGGGAGAGAAGGGTGCTGGGGGTGCCATGTCAACAGCCCAGACAGGTGCCATACACAGTCCGCCCTTTGTCCCCGGGTGGAGTTGCCTCACTGCAGAAGGTTGGTCAGGCAGAACTTGCCCTTGGTGAAGCTGTGCTGGCTCTCCTGAATCACCTCGTGCCTTCTATGGGCCTCAGCAGAGCTCCCAGGAGGATCTATATCATCTTCCCAGGGTCAACTGAGGCTGAGGAGTTGGTACACATGGCAGGCCAGGGTGGTCACCCTAGCACAGCTTCCAGGGCTCCATCCTGCCAGTGGTGAGTTGCTCCAGACTCAAGACAGTTGCTGCTCTTGGAGATGCTGCTGTGGGGGTGAACAACTCCAATGGCAGTGAGAGCAAACCAGTGTCTCCGTGGAGGATGGCTCAAGGGTTCCAAGCCATGGGGATGCTGCTGAGATCGTCCTGTCTGACCAGGGAGCAGTCTCAAAGGATCTCCTTGGGCAGTGCCTTGAGGAGGATGTGGCTGTCCTGGGACATGTGGCTGCAGGGGGATGCCCCCACGGTGGTGGCTATGATGGACATTGGCAGCACCATGAGGGCTGGGGCCACCTCTGTCCCTGTCTGTTGGTGCCAGCAGGGTCCCCAGGTATGTGAGCCACTCCTCTACGCTCCTTTGGTAGGTGGTGAGGTGTTGTGATGGGCGCCTCTTGTCTGGGCAGTTCCTGGGCTGCTCCAGGGCAGTGACACTGTGGCCCAGAATGGGGGTGGCCAGCGAAGGTGGGTTGGTGCTGGTCCACTGGAGACAGAAGCTCTGGGGGATGAAGAAACAGCTGCATGGTGCCCCCCAGACTGGAGCGAGTGGGAACTGTGCTGGGCCAGAGGCACCCGCTGAGCTGGCCTCCACTGCAGGCATCCCCCAGCTCTGCCAGGTACGTGGGGTGCTGGTGGCCAGGGCAGTCCTGCAGTGGTTGCTGCTGGGCCAGTGGGATGGGCAGCAAATCACGAAGAAGACAGGAGAGGTGGCCTCAAGGAACTGCTTGCCCTGAGCCGAGGATTTTCTGTGTCCCATGCTCTGCCAGGGAGGAGGTGCACTAAAGTCTGAGAGGGAGAATGGCTGGGACAGCTGTCCTGAGCTGGCCAAGGGGACGCTCTGCATCACAGAGCATCATGCCCAGTATGGAGGAGTTATCTAGAACAAAGGGTTTCAAGGGGTTTGGGTACTGGTTTGGCATTGTTTAACAGGTGATGAGCAGTTGTAACGTGCATCACTTTTTTTCTTGTGTGTTCTCTCCCTCCACCATCTCTTTTTATTTTTTGGGTTTTTTGGGTTTTTTTTTTGTTTTGTTTTTTATAATTATTACCATTTTACTGCATTTCAATTATTAAACTGTTTTTATCTCAGCCCACTAGTTCTATTTTCTTTGCTTTCCTGAGTATGCTCCTTACTCCATGAGGAGCAAAGTAAATGAACAGCTTCATGGTGCTTAGTTGCCAGCTGACATTCCTTTTTGATGACTGATGTGGGACATGAAGGGTTTGAAATAATTCCCAGGTGCCAGCTCCTGACTCCTCGAAGGGAACTCCAGGAAGTGTTTGGTCCGTGTTCAGGGCAGGTGCACATTAGCAGCTGCCTGACACCCTCAGGCACTTCTAGGAGCACTGGGATTTGTTCTGGAGACAGATGAAGTCCCAGGTAGTCTCTGCAGAGTATTTTAGAGCAGCTCTCTAGAGAACCCTGGGGAAGAGCTGAATCTGGTGGCTGTGCTTGACTTGTCACCAGCAACTGGGGAATATTTGGGCCCCCCATGGAGATGGCAGAATGTTGCTAGTAGAAGCCCCCATGAGGTCACAAAGCGCCCTGTGGAGCCGCAATGCCAGGCCCTGGTGTGCAGTGTGTGTTGTGTGTCACAGGCTTCAGCAGCAGTGGCAGGAGCAGCAGCATCATGGTACAGGAACGATGTGCCCTGGCTCTCGTCCTCCTCCTGGTGGCCATGCCAACCCAGAATGTTGAGGCTGCTCCGTGGCAAGCACGGGCAGCGGGTAGGTGGGCAGGCCAGGGCCAGCACCCAGGTCTGACAGATCCCGATGAGCAGCAGTGACTCAGAACTCAACTGACACACTTTCTCTCTAAAGCGCCGGAGCGTGAGGCTATGCAGGAGGAAGCGCCTCAGGAAGGCCAGCAGGCAGTGCCAGTCCCTGGGGAAAACACCAGGGCCTTTCACGCAGCAGGTGTGTGGGGTAACCGCTGTCCTTTGGTCATTCAGCAGCATCTGCCGAGATCCCCACGTGTCTACAGGCTCTGCCCCGGGGCCAAACTGTCAGTGCAGAGCCGGTGCTCTGCCAGCAGCCAGGAGCAGCTCTGGGCTGTCTGTCACCTCGGGGGTGCAGGTTGTTGCTGTTGCCGTCCCAGGGATACACACTCGGACGCTCTGTGGGTGCAGCAAGATGCTCAGCACCTCTCACACTCCAGCCTCAGGGATTTCAGAACTTTGTTCTTTTTTGGGAGTGAGGCCACCTGGACACCCCTCAGCAAATGATGGGAAATATGACTTTGGATCTAATGTCCCTCCCACAGCACCTGCATCCCAGACCTTGCAGTGAGACCCTGGAGGCCCCAACACAACACAGGGGGATCCCTGCTTGGAACTGGGGTCCAAAGGGGTGCACTCTCAGATTGGCGTGGCTTAGGAGGACCCTACATCATCCTCCTGCAAACTCTCTCCCTGAGCCATGCTGAGGCTTTACTTTTCCCTGATCCTTGACAGTGCTGGCCAACCCTGGGGAAGGCCCCCATGCCAGGATATAGGAATGCTTTCAAAATTATCCAGGCACTGGACAGTCCTGCCACAGGTTGTATGTGGGAGACAAGTTCTGAAAACTAGGAGCAGGCAAATGCTGCCCGTACTCCAGAAAACCCAATAAGGGAGAGGGCCGACTGAATCCCCTTGGGGTGTGGGTGCTGGGCTGAAGAGGGGGGGCTGGGAGAAGCTCTCCTTGACACAGAAATGGGTTTTGTCCATCTCACTCCACGGGGCTAAAAGAAGCTCTGTTCCCCCCATGCTCTCTGTCCAGCCCCCTGAGTCCTGTCCAGAGACAGCTGTATCCTTCAGCATCAGAGAGTGTCTCCATCCAGGGCAGCACCTGCCAAGCCTCGAAAGGCAAGATGGGCAAGGGCAAAAGAAATAGTGGGCAAATGTGAAGGATCTCCAGGAACAGGGAACAAAGCCTGGGTGTGCTGTGTTCTTCCATGATCCTCTTCCCTGTTCTGTTGTTCTGTCAGGACAGATGGTGCTCCAGGGTATGAGACTCCTCTTTGAGAGGAGTCTGCAGCTGTGGGCACAGGCAGGGCTTTCCCAGCTTTTCAGCTGGACTCTGCGCTTGAACTCCCCTGGCACTGCTGGAATCACTAGTCAGTCCTGACTGACTTCACAGCCTGAATGCTGCTTCCAGGGTTTGCTGGAGGAAAATGCAACTTTCCTCTTTCTATTAAGGTCCTGAGCATCAAGATGGAAGGGAACAATCTTCTGTGGAGACATCCAAAGTGCTACATGAAATCCTAAGGGAGCTGGGGATGATACTAGGAGGTGGGTACGGGTCACTCCTAACCAGCACAATTGGGCAGCGGAGGTTTTGGGTGCATGTAGGAGCACACCGTAGCCGCACCCATCCATACCGCAGATCTTCACTGCAGGGACATTCCATGTCATGCCCTGAGGTACTGGTGAGCTGCAAGGGTGCTCCAGAGTCTGTACTGCCAGTTGTGTCCCCGGCTGAGTCCCAGGGACTGTGTTTGCCCCAGTCAGATCATCCCTGACCAGAGCACAAGAGAAATTGTGGGCACGTGTGAAGAATCCCCAGGAACAGGGAGCAAAGGCAGACACTAGAAGAACTGAATTGTGGCCACTCCAAAGTGTAAGCAAAGCTGAGAGGAGAGAGAGGGTCCAGAGAGCAGGGACTTGCAAGGCCTTTGGGAGTTCCCTTGGTTTCTACTGAAGCCATGGAAACATTGCCACCCTCTTTCGTATTCCCTCATTCTTATTCCCTCGTTCAGAGACCCTAGTAAAGTGGGAAAGAACATTTGTTGGCAATGCCAGCCCTCTGGTGAGATTAGAAGGGGGGTGCAGGACACACTAACGTGCACAATTGGTCCTCTAGGTGTGAACAGGCTGAGCCTTAACAGTGCTGTCAGTAGGAGATCCACCAGCGCTGAGAACAGCGGAGCAGACCCAGACACTATGGATAA